AGAAAGAACTGTCCTGGAAAGCTAAACCTGTAATTTTATTGCCACTGATTTGTAAATCATAATGTGAATATAACAAATAGAAACTATGTTGATTTAGTTTCTTATGCGTATTTAATTTGTGTTTAAATAATAGGGAGTACATCTAAGCTTACATACACGTTGCCAACAGTGAGCTAATGCCCAGACCCACCAATTTAATTCCACACACTGGAATCCTGTTAAATCGATCTAATAATTTAATCTGTTTATGCCGCATGTTACAAGCGGCTTTAGCAAACAGACGTTTCCTTTTTTCACATAACTATAAAAATCACCTGTCTTAAAAATTCTCTTTTGAAGTTTAAAATCTAAAAAAGTTGAAATCCCTGTGTTATAGTTTCAAAAAACCCACGCACCCTTTCAAACACACATACATAATCTGTTTATTTTAAACTGAGCATATTTTATCTCATTTAAGATATATTTACACGACATCTGGGAACAAGCCTCCCACCCCTGGGCCCACACTAGTGGGGCTTGTGCTGGCATGCTAAAAATGGTGGTATAGACGTTCTGGCTTGGGCTGTCAGCCTGGTGGGAGGAGGGCTTTAGAGCCTGAGCAGCAGCCCGAGTTGCAATGTCAAAGCAATTTCTATACAGCTATTTTCAGGCAAGCCCTTAGAGACAATAGATATAGAAGCTCCTGGTGTCATTCTAAAAACAGCACTTTTCAAAGTATGGCCGCAGTTTAAGGGCCAAATTCTCACTTTCATACCTTCAGGGGCAAATGCAGCCCCTTCACATCCACAGCTGCCCAGAGCCTGAGTGCATAGGAATTGGTATAGTTTCACTGCATGGGGCCAGGGACAAAGACATGTTTGGCTCCTCCACTCCCTAGCTACAGGGGTACTGCATAAGGGCCCCACATCTCTGCATTGCACCTCAGCTTGGGAAAGGATTCTCACTCATGCATCTTCCCAATGTCTTCCTGACTTTTTTCACTGGGTGTTTGGATCTGGATTTTGGCTTAAGGGTTCTGCCCTGTTCCACAAAATCAATACGATGTCTGTAGGAGTGCACGCTAGAAGCAATAGTTATTAGATTGCAGGACACCTAAAATAGAAAATGTAATTTGGATATTATTTTTCTTATTTGTGTTGTAGTAACACCTAGGAGCCCCAGTAAACCAAGAACATCTTTTGCTAGACGCTGTACAAATGCAGAACAAAAAGATGATCCATGCACAAAAAGTTTATAATCTAAGTATAACACTATATACACCAGGTGGATTCAGATGGACAGATGAGGAAAACTCTGTTTTGGAATCATGTTGATGCGATAGTGACATAAGTTTCACATATGGATGTGAAAGTCACAGCATGGCTTTCTTTGTCCCCCAGAATAAAAAAGCAGCTATGGCAGCCCTAACATAGTTATTCTTGTCTTCAAAAATGTGCAGTCAATTCTACATGGTCAACTAATGTTTCAAATCCCTAACTTATTTTTTGGCCCTCCTACTGAGCAACCTTTTAAGTGGTCTAGCCCATTTTTCTTTAAATATTGAAAAAAAATCCTTCAAGTTTATGTTGATTATCTCAAATTTCACCCCAGAACATGTTTATGGCTTTGTTATAAACTCCCGAAAATAGTCTGTGTTAATAGAAAAATTAGCCTTTAAAGGCAAACTCTTGAGTTTAGCCAAATGAATGGTGCCATGCTAACTAGGGATCAAGGTCTTTGCCAATTCGTTGTCCAATGATTCTTGCCGGGGGGGAAGTTGATTCTTAGGGACATACGCTGTATATGCTTTCGTGTCCATTCTGGTTTTAAACTTCTTCAACGAGGCTCTTTTGGGAATGGAGAACACAATGCATAGGCTGTTAGCAAAATATGGCCATGTGTGAATGGAGTCCTTAAGGAGTGTAGAAAAACTGCAGTCAATCTATAAATCCTTTCCATTCTTTTTGTTGTGCAGTTGGCCCCAAGTATTACAGTATGGGCTTTGGCGTCCTAGTCTTAACTCCTGTTTTAAATCCCATTTCTCATAATATCACATTTCATTATGCATTTTGTAAAATCCTACAGGCACTTGATTTTGTTTAGTAAAAGGAACTGTGAGCAACAGCACACACAACTTTGTCACAACAGACTTTCATGTTTGTTTTCTGGAATGTGATTTGCAGAGGAGATAGGGCCTGGATCCATAGAGGTATATACTCCTGAGAACTACTGGCGTGTTAAAATCACCTTTTTAATCTATCCTAGTGTAGCTGATTGGATCCAATGGAATTGAATTTTAAGCCTCAATAAGACACATTTTGTAGTGGCTTTATTTCTAGAAAAGTCTCACTAAGTGTGCATTGAAATGGTCCATTCACAGAATTATTTCACGGGAACAGATCAGATCCATTTTAACAGTGAATCTTGCAAATCTGATGTTGTGTGTCCAGTTAATCTCTATCGAGAAATTTACTTCTTAACATCTGTAAAGCCTTCACTTCCTGTGGTGCTGAACATATTATCTTACATCGTGATATACCATTCAGTTCTATAGCATTGAAACAGCAGCACAGGAAATATGCCAGTGCTCTACTAATAAAGAGGCTAATTTAATCTGTTGACTGTCTTGCAAGCCTTTCTTGGACACTTCAGCCTTTCTTCTCTGCTATAGTACCGCTTGAAAGCACTGGCCAAAACAGTTTCAAGATACTCAGCTGTCATGGAATGCATGCTTGCAGTGTTGTTGTAGCCATGTTGGTCCCCAGGGTATGAGAAAGACAAAGTGGGTGAGATACTCTCCTACTGGACCAACTTCTATTGGTGAAAGAGACAAGCTTTCTTCTCTGTAATACTTGAAAGTTTGTCTCTTTCACCAACAGAAGTTGGTCCAATAAGAGATATTATCTCACCCATTTTGTGTGTCTGATATAATGCTTGATCACTCCAGTTTAATACTGCAAGAGTGTAATAGCTGAGAGATTCACAAGTCAGGAAGATTGAAATAATTTACAAAGGTTCTATTTATTTTCTTTTCTTTTTCTTTTGCAAATAAGTCCTCAAGTCTTCATGAACTTTCTCTGGAAGGTACATAATCACTTGGGTTCAAGTCTATTTGAATCCAGAGATAAAGAACGGACTTAAGACTTGAGGGGATGACTACCCTGCAGCTGGGAAGTATGACTCTCAGCCTGTATAGATGGACTCATGCTACCCCAAGCCACCCCCAGTGGCACAACATCCACACTGCTATTTTAGCACACTAGCTCGAGCAGCATATTGCACCATGTGTAGTCATTCCCATCACACCTGTGAAAAGTGGGTGTTAAAAGCTAAGAATCTTAATTCTTAGCACTTTGTATCTGATTTGCACAAACAAGGTGTGAGGCAGTGAAAAATCAGGTCCAATTTGAGTTTTGCCTGAGTTAAAAACTGTAGGATTTGACCCTGTGTGTGTGCATTAATGGGCAAGAGTCCTGTAGGCAATTATGTATTTCTTTTTCTACGTAAAGCAGTGATTGGTAGCAGTGATGCTAGAGGTATTTTGGTGACTCCAAAAATACTGGACTGATACCCAGTTACCAGTTGCACCTTAGCAAAGATTTCTTCTGCTGCTAGGATATAGACACAGAAAGACAGAGATAATAATTTTTAATAGACCCTAAAAAATGCATCCGGTTTTATTTTATTTTTATTTTTTTTAAACTCATACAGTTCAGGCACTGAGCTGGTAATCTAGCCTACTCATCTGTACCCTGTGTGTTCCCAGAATCCATTGCAGTCATTAACCCTGAAAATAGTTCTAGATGTGTATCCTTTTAAAAAGTCACTTAATCTCAAAACTGTCTTTTTAAAATGTGCTAACTTCATGCTTGGCAGCCTTACACTGTACACTTTGAAATAATTAAGCTTGTATCCTGATAGTAGTGTAGTTAAAAAGTGTAGGAAGTCAATGCAGCAGCTTAAATAAACCAGTCATTGTGTCAACTAAATGCAAGTCTAAATTCTGTTAACAAAATGAATCACATTCAGATCCAGCATGCAAACCCATAGAGGTAATAGTCCCCAGACAAAACAGTTTAAATCTGCACTGTGCAGCGTATTGTGTACTTTCCATTAAATTCACTGAGCTATCCAAGTGTTTAGGAACAGGGAGTGGGAGTCCTAAGGAAAGACATGACACTTTCTCTCTAATTAGTTCTTAAGGGTTAAACTGTTGCTTTTGTGATAAGTAGTAAAAGGAAAATGACATACAGCTTGTATGTATTCTTGAATACTGTATGCATCATGGGGTCTCCAATAGATATACAATTTTATAGCTCATTAAAGTTTCACAATAGAGGCCAAAAAAAAGATTAAGTGGTATTTAAAGGATCTGGCTAAAGAAAACATTTTGTTAAATATTATAGTAAAATATAATATTTTTTTTCATATCTTTTAAAGTAAATGTAGCACTCCTGAAAGATAGAGAGAATGAAATTCAGTTTTCATAGTATTGGTGTATCATTGGGCTGCAGCCTTTTCAGTACTGCCCACCTATGTCTCAGTGGTGATTAAGGGATAAGAGTGGGTGGGAATGTAATTCTACCTCCATGACCATGCAGTAGCGTTTCTCCCTGCTAGGAATACCACCCAGGGTGATGATTGGGACTGTGTTTGTACACATCTGTCCTCTTGGAACTGGACTGAGATTTATGGAGAGCCGTCCGATTTTAATGTTGATTCAAGGGCAGTTTACTCTCTCCACTAAATAACTTTAGGATCTACAAAATGACTTTTGATCAGCCAAACAATGTGCTGGAATGTTTGCACAAGAACACGCTATTAGGAATGAATCACTTATACTGTAATTACATGGCACCAAGGCATTCTGTCACAGCTGTACAAATTACTCACTCTTTTCACTCTGGGAGGTGTACTCTCCTTCTCTTTTAAAAGAATGGTGTCCAGTTACCTTAATATTTCAAGCCAATGCAGAATTGGAACTAACAAATGTTTCCTTTGTTTTTTTTCAATCCATACAGTGTGAAGGGAGCCGATGCTGGCAACGTGATCAGAGTGTTTGTACCAGATATCGGGATGTTCATTGCTAGCTTGACCATATGGCTTGTCTGCAGAAACCTTGTGCTGAAGCCAGTGACAGAGGATGCAGCACAGTACAACACACAATTTGAAAATGAAGAAATGGTATTGGATGCACATTTATACCTGTATAATGTTTATTATTATTTTATTATTTATTATGTATTTGTATTCTAGTACAATAGTACCTAGGAGCCTTAGTCATGAATCCCATTGTGCTTGCTGTCCCTAATCCCATAGGGTTGGATATCAATACCCTTTCACACACTGAATTGTATCTTACTCTGTGAGCAATCTCGCCGATTTTATTTTACTGCCCGGCATGGAGTAAAACCCCGTTCAGCATGAGGAAGGGTATCAGAATTTGAGGTTTAACCAGCAAGAATCTCTCATGTGGTGTGTTTAACTTAATTCAGGAGTGATGGGGTGAAATGTGACCTTAACAACGTCTGATTATGAAAAATATCTCAATTTTATCAGCTCTTTTTATCTGTAAATTTTATTTCAGAAGGTGGATGTTATCTTGGTTTTTTACACCGCTTACATCATGTAATTCCATGCCCTGAAAACAGAGAGAGCACTGAGAGTACATGGGAATTGTTCTGTGTAAACGACTATCTGCCAATACACAGAACAAAAAGACAGTCCCCATTCCAAAGAGTTTATAATGTAAATATAAGACAAGAGTAAGAGACAACATATGGAGACCGACAGATGGGGAATATAAGGAAATAACTGGACAGTATTCGTCAGTGGAACTTTTAGTTAATACTGTGTTTTGGGGGCCTTGTCTGAGCTAAATTTGGAAAATATCTCACAAGTGTATTTAAAAGTGACCTTGGTTTCAGAAAACAAAAATGAATGTTGTTAAGGAGAAAAACATACCAAAATCATTATCCTAAGGAAGCAAAACGGAAAATTAAAAATTGAATAATTAGAGATTGACCAAAGATGCAAACATTGTATTAGGGTCTGAATTATTCAAATGTCCAGGGTCTTCAGATCCAAGGTTTTGATTCAGCCCATTATGGTGACAAACCAGCCAGACATTTGGATCTGTTTTTTTTCCAGAGTTTGAGGGTACTCAGAACTGGGGGTTTTGTTCAGAGTCACCACTAGGTATTTTGCAAAATTGCTTGAGATTGCAACTTTTGTCTGTATTTCCCAAAGCCTAATGTCCACGACCAGCAGCATATAAAAGGGAAGATACCTCATGCACCATGCTTTTTGGAAAGAGATTGTTAAATTTGTGAATAATTTTGTTGCCTTTGCCTACTTTGGGTACATAGTGGCGTCATGGGAGCAGAGGGTGGCAGAAAAGATTAAAGCAGAAAATTCCCCTAAAGCTAGAGAAACAAATTGACAACGAAATAAAGAAATCCATTTGGTCACAATAGGGATTGGCCCAAACCACATAATGGTGTCTCATGTAAATCCCATGATTTTTTAAGGACAAAATGTCAAGCTGGTTTAAATGCTTTGAATCTCATTTTTCTATTCTTTTCTTGGTTTAAGTGAGAGCCCTAACATCACTTTAATTTTGTTTTTCTTTATAGTTTATTGTAAAGATATTTTTCAGAGAAGTTTATTACAACTCAGTAATTTCATATAGAAAAGGCACTTGGAGGTGATCTACCTCATTGTGGGCTAAAGGCTGGGGATCAGCCACACATTCTGGTGCAGCTCTAGAGAGGAAGAAAATGAAAAGGTTCCTGTATGTCACGTTTGCATTGCCTATATTTTGGGGCCACCAGAAGCCGGTCCAGTTCCTGTTGCACGTTAGATCAGCTACTTTAGACCCACTGCCTATGGTTCTCATGGACTGTTTTGGCAGCCAGGGATCAACTGAAGATTGCAGCTCCTGGCCACATACACTTCTTCTGGCTGTGCCCTGATATCTTAACCAGGCTAGGCAGGCTCTTCTGAATACCCTGGAAGCTGGTTAAAACGAGATTTAAGGCGGCTTTTTGCTTGAGTGGTGCAAAAAAGCCTTAGCAGAGGCTAAAATCTGCTGCTATATCTGCAATGGGAGATGTTCCAAGTGGTGTGAAGAGTGGCACCATGAACATGACTGATAAGCAAGCTGTGTTCTGTCCGTCTCTCTTAAAATAAAGTTATATGTTACTGAAGCAGGCTCTGGATGACAGCTTTAAAGTTATCCATCTTCTGTACAGAAAATATTTGTCCAAGCATAAAATACGAGAAATCTGATTATAGAAGCACACTGGAAGAAGAAAAGGGCACATTCAGGTTCCTCTGTCTGAATAGTGGTTTTACGAGACTCTGATTTGATGTCCATTTTTGATTAAGGCTAGAGATGGGCCCCAGCCTGTAGTCTGGGTGAAGAGGAGGTAATCCAGAGGTAGAGAGTGTGGAAGGGCATATGGAGCTGAGCTATGGAATGCAGAGAAGGTTACATGGTAACTAGTAAATACTGATTAAATAGAACAGAATTAGGTTTTAAATGGGATCTTTCATACATGGACTACCTCAAGGCAATCTTCCAACCAATTAGATATTAGGATTTTCTTTAAACAGAGAGAGAGAGAATTTATTTGGCTACATTTTTGTCATTACAGCAAAACTCAACCAAGATTGTTTGTAATTTTACATATATTATAGATTATTTACGTATTATTACAAAGCACAGTGGCTACGTTTTTATGTACAAGTCAAAAAATTAGCCATATAAGTATTTTAAGGTGGGGGGGAAATTGTACATCAGTACTTTACACAGCACTGATTTCTTTTCACCATCAACTCATTTACAGCAGAATAACCTATATATTCTTAAAGTGAAGTAAAAATTAGTGAATGATAAGTTAAACATTTTTTTAAAATATATCAACTTCAGCTGTCTGTAGGCGTTCTGCACAGAACATCCCGTAGTCATGTGTGCTACTTAGAAAGAGTGTTCATAAAATGCTACAGAAGCAGCTAAAAATATTGGGATTCTGTACGTCACTGTGCTGGCTGCAGGGAGTCTGATGCACATATGGACTGTATCACTGAGTTTGTGGGGATTTTGAAAGATTCATAATTTTTTGCACATTGGCCCCATTTGCATTGATTTTAATCGATATTTTGGATTTATGCTTTGGATGAGTGTGTTGAAACAGGAACCCTAAATAAATAAATACACCAGTTCTTCAGCACTGCACTGGCTTACAGATTACCATGTTTTAGGAAGCACGCTGGACTGGGTCTTTAATTGGCTTAAATTGTTATATTTCACCCTTCAAATAAAAGCATCTGAAAAAGTGATAAGTCTAGCACAGTGCCACAAAGCTAACAGTCTGGGGGTTTATTGTACAGCAAGTGAAGCAAATTCCAGAGTTGAGGAACTTCTGCCAGGAGTCCCTGCCACCCATCTCCAGACATAACATTAAGGATGCATCGGCTGATGTCCCCAGCTACACAGTGCCTGAGGAGATAGGAAGCCTTTTAGATTACTAGGTTCCAAGCCATAGAGGACTTTATAAATCAAAAAGTAAACACCTTGAACTGCACCCAGAAGCAAATAGTATGCCCTGCAGCTTTACCTATTTAGAGCAGGTAGTCATTTACATAGAACAGGTCCCATGTACTATCAGTGGTCTCTCTGTTTTCAGGGCATGGAATTACATGATGGTAAGCAGTGTAAAAAACAAAGATAACACATCTACCCTCTGAAATAAAATGTACATATAAAAAGATTTGATAAAATTAAGATATTTTTCATAATCAGATGTTGTTAAGGTCACACTTCATCCCGTCACTCATGAATTAAGTTAAACACACCAGATTCTTAGGGTGGTTAAGCACCGAATTCTGATTAGTGTTTTATTCCACGGGCAGTAAATCTGTAAAATAAAATCAGCAAGACTGCTCACAGAGTAAGACACAATTCAGTGCGTGAAAGGGTATTGATATCCAACTCTAAGGGAGTAAGGATAGTAAAGATCAATGAAAATATGGAAATCCTGATTCATAATAGTGCATCCAACTTTCAGAGAAACAGACCTGCACCAGAACAAAAAAAGTATACAGTTTGTGAAGCGCTGGAAAGGGGGTGGGAGGCACTCAATTATTTGTAAGTAATGCTGCATAGAGTGTGGTTTTAATTAGCAGTGAGTCATGAAGTAGAAAGGCTTGCCAGATACCAGGCTGCAGTCCAACTCATTACCACCCCTAAATGGTTGCACGCTTGGAGCAAATGTGTCTGCAGGCCTTTTTTATTAGGACTCAGAAAATCTAAAGCAGGTGAATTCAGCTGGAGAAGGGCCCAGACTGCAAACTCAGAGAAGCACAATGCCAGTCAAAAAGTATAAAGTGTGGGGGGTGGGAGGAGAAAAGAAAAGAGAAATGTTAACTTCCCAGCTGTGTCTGAAAGTATAACCGTCACTGAAGCAGATGGTGATTTTATGCGCCAACATGCAGAGACAGTATATACAGTTTAATAGGTATTGGGGGGGAAAAAGTTGTTTTTCTTGAGACTATGGAAGACTATGCCAGTCAGCATGGGTTTATTTGAGTGCAGTATTCAATCTATTTGGCTTAACAAAGAGAAGGTTAAGGGGTGACTTGATTGCAGTCTGTAAGTACTGACATGGGAAACAAAAATTTGATAATGGGCTCTTCAGCCTAGAAGACACAGGTATAAAACAGTCCAATGTCTGGAAGTAGAAGCTAGACAAATTCCGACTGGAAATAAAAAAACGTTGTTTAACAGTGAGGGTAATTAATCATTGGAACAATTTACCAAGGTTTGTCGTGGATTCTCCATCACTGGCAATTTTCAAATAAAGATTGGATGTTTTTCTAAAGGATATGCTCTAGTTCAAACTCCGGTGACCTGTGTTTATACAGGAGGTCAGACTAGATGAACACTTTGTTACCTTCTGGCCTTATAATCTCTGAATCTATGGATTGTCTAGTATTGTAAGTGACTGAAAAAATCCCTGTAAGACTGTATAACTTAAACTTTACCAGATGTGATCTTAATTGGAATGTGCATTTTTCGTTTTGCTCTCACTGTACTTATCACCTTTCCCCTCAAACTTTATTCTTGTCCATGATACTTAGAATCCTAAAAATCCCTGGTCTGTGCTTTAGGTCAAAGAATA